GGGCATTACAATTAGCATGTATAATGTTGGGGGGGGCATGGGGAGGGCTGTGCAACACAGAGAAGACAAGTAGTGATTCTACAGCATCTTACTACGCTGATGGACAGTACTGTAACGGGGTTTGTGGGTGGGGGGGGATTTGGTGAAGGGGGGACCCTAGTAAACATAATATTCTTCATGTAATTGTAGGTTAATGACAACAAAATTGATTAATTAATTAATTAATTTTTAAAAAAAGATGCATGCACCCTTTGATCCAGAAATCCCACTACTGGGAATTCATGCTGCCAATGCACTTGCCAAGGTTTACCAAAATCACAACACATACACACATACAGCTGTCAGTTGCAACACTGGTGATTTTGGGGAAAAAGAAAGGGAAAAAGTGGAAACAGCCAAAACTTTAATCAGCAAAATATTGATTATGCTATATTTGAATGAATGTTATTTATAATGATTCCCATAAAGGAATGTTTCTGACATGTGAAATGGTCATGTAGTGCTGATTGAAGAGTGAAAAAATCAGCTTACAAAATTAGATTTGCAATATTATTCTTTTTTTTTGTAAAAAATAGGTATGTATAGTATGTTTGCATTGAAAGCAGACTGTCAGAATCTATAGCATACATGCTTTCCTGTCACTTACACATTTTCTAAGTGCATATACACAATTTTTATAACCAGGAGAAAATTACTTTAAAAGTTTTCAACTTTCTATAGAAGACAATAAACAATCTGTGCCCTTGTCTGCTCTACACTGAACAATGAACAATACCTAGAATCCATGTCTTAGAGGTTTTATAAAAATTAATGATTAACTGAGTATAACTCATTGAAGGAGCTACAGCTAAAATAATCAAAAAAGCTCTGTTTGGGATTTGGCTGTGGAAATAAGATACAGTCCCACTTCCACTCATTCTAACACACTAAACTAGCTCTATTTGCACTGCTTTATTCATCACACACTGTCACCCAATCAGTGTTGCTTAATACAAGTGTGTGTGTGTGTGTGTGTGTGTGTGTGTGTGTGTGTGTGTGTGTGCGCGCGCATGTGTATAAGTAGAGTTGGAATATAACTGCATCAACTACTGCAAAGTATTGACAACAGGAAACTTCATCATTCAAGACCAGTCCTTCAAATTAGGTGAGTATAATAAGTACTGTGAAAAATATTTGCTGTATGTTATTGGGAAAAACAGCACAAAAGAACCAGTGATATTTATGTTGCCATCTATTCTAAAATATTTCTGATTTAAGAATAGGAAAGTAGAGAGCAAAGTTAAGTCTGAAAAAATGGTGCAAAGAGTGATTGTACTTTTTAAGGTAAAGATTTGTAGTCTGTTTAAAGAAAATGTTTTTTAAAAAATAGTATTTGAAAATATTTCCTTACTATGCTTTTGACTTATCATGTGATTCTTAAAAAGCAGCTGATTTTATGTGTTGATGACTGCATTGTAAATGTGGTATTTCAGTTTCTTATGTATCTTGCTTAACTCTGCAAGCTAATGTTGGTTTAGAGCAGAGTTTCTCCAAGTGTGTTCTCTCAAACTAGTCCACGGGGGTGTTAGTAGGGGGCACTGGGGAAGTTACAAAATGAAATAATTACTGAAAATATTTCAAAAAATTTCTTCAATGATTCTTCAATGAAGGACAGTCAATATCTCTAGTATGCTAATGTGAGTCTTCCAAAGGGGTGGAATATAGATTGGAATATTTCCTAGATTTATTTGAAAAATGCAACTCTTTTTTTTTAATGTCCTCCAGGTGAATTCTTTTTTAGGACATAAGGATCCTTGGATAAAAGAGAAAACAAATCCAGCAATGCAATTTTCATGTTATCAGTAAAGTGTTACCTGAACTTTTTGCAGGGTACTATTTGAACTACTATCTGTACAATTTAAAATTTAACTACAGTAAGTTTACCTAACTGTACTATTTCACATCTCATGATTACAAATGAACTACTATATTCAGAAATTTATTATTTCAAGAAAGTTTGAACAACTGGCTAAGTGTTTGAAGTTAAATATACAGTTCTGATTATTCTTTTCCTATATTTGGATGATGGAGAGAGCAGACAAGGTAGGGAAGCTCTGGCATAAAGAAGTAAGTCAGGAGACTAGATTCTCATCCCAGTTTTGGCTTTGTGATGCTGGGCAAGGCACTTCATCTTTACATCTTACCCTAGTCATCTATAGACTTAGGGGCTCAATAAATTGATGTCAAAGGTTCTATGCTTCTAAGTGTTCTAAGTGTTCATCAGCATCCATTGATCAGCAACCTTCCCTGAATTAAGTATTAAATTGGGGTCTGTAAAGATGATGATTTTTCTAATTCTATCATTCCTTCTCCAATGTATAAATCCCTCATTCATTCATTCTTGAGAAATGCTATGGGTCAATTACCACATTATTTTTTTTTTGGATGCTCAAATTGTGCCAAATTCGGCCAGTGGCAAAACCCTTGAAGGAGGCTACTGTGTCCTTTTGATACAATCTCACTGGTCTTTCAATAGCTTACTGCTTTCTAGCAGAACATGATATTCCATGTTCACTTCTACTCTCCCAGCCCAGATCTGGAGTCCTCAGTTTCTTTCAGTAGCTAAAGTATTTAGAAACTAAGATATGGGCACACTGATACTGCTGATTTAATTTTAACATTACAGGGATTATCCCTTGGCTTTCTCCTTTTATTTTATGTTTGTATCTCCTTTCTCCTACACTGACAATCCTATAACATCAATATATCTACTTACTTGCTCTATGTATAGTATGGAAAAACAGTCTCCGAATTCTAATACCAGTATTACCATTAACAATAAATGTACTAAGTAAAGTTTAAGATTTCTTTGCAGTTCTTTTTTGTTGTTGATCATATTCTAGTAGAGATACATATTCAGAAAACTATGTTCAAATTTTACTGAAATAATTATTTTCTTTGTGTGGGTATGTTATCAATTTTATTTTGAGTGAACCAAAGTTGTTCCTGTTTATTTTCAAGTTGAGATGACTGAACTAATATTATATGTTAATCACAGAAGCCTGAAAAAATGAAGCCTAAAATGAAGTATTCAACCACCAAAATTTCTCCAGCAAAGATGAACAACTCAGCAGGCAGTAAAGTTGTGGTAAAATCTCCCAAGTTGAGAAGTAAGGAATTAAGCATTTCTGATTGTTTTGCACACTATTTTTATCTGTTATCAGATTTTTTTATTGATGTTCATACAAGCTGCTTTGCCAAAACCTACTAAGAACACAAGAGCTGAAATTGAAAGAGATGGCTTCTAAGTGCATAATACATCAGGCTTTGGTTTTAAACAGACTATATATAGCCAACTTTAGCTTATTTGACACATCACAGGACAGGAATGGCTCAGGTAATTTAAACCAGCTAATAGTGATTAACATAATTATAGCCTTTCATATCAATCTTTTCTCTCTACCTACACCTCCTTCCACCAAATCCTAAAAACATGTTTCCATGTTAACTAAAAATTTTTAACTGATCCACCTTTATTCAGCAAACATTTATTAAGACCCTTGCTGCACCAAGCTGTGGTCTTGACTAGCAACTTCTGGTAAAGGAGAGAATAATATGTGAAGATATTTGAATAATCCAGGTCCCAAGTAAAGCAGAATTGACCAAATGATGCTCAAGTTTACCCAATTGCAAACTCAGAGGGTTTGGAAAAGTTGAAGGGTAAATAAAGTCAGGTAGTAGCCATAGCTTTAAGATGAAAGAGCTATATACATCTTTGATCCTTAAAATTATCTATCTTAGGGAAGAATTATCCAGATTTATACTCCTGTTTTTCATATGGGAGCAGTGACACAAAAGAGAGTTCACAGAGCCCTGGTGGACTGGAGAGAAAACAGAGGATGAGGAATGATGGTGGGAATTGATGTAACCTTTTCCTTTGTGCTCTTCTCCATTTCCCCAAACATCTTTAAAGCTAAAAGAGAAACCTGTATTAAAAAATATCATTTCTGTCCTCCCTGAGGCTCTATCCCACCCACACTGTTCTTTGGTTACCAGGGAAAACACTAATTTGTGGTTCCTGAAAGGCCAGGAAATCACAGTTAAGTTAGTTCTTTTTCTTGCGTCTGAGTCAAAATGTTCTGTGCAGCAACAGTGACTCAGTGGAGTGATTCTGCATCCCCAAATTCCCTCTTAATAAAGAATGATTTTCTGTATCCTAGGAGATGTGGTGTAGGCCCATATCCCTACATGGCAATAATTGGAGGTAGAGCTGAGTAGAGATCACATCCTTTAGTCTGGGTCTGTCCATGGAAGATCTTCTGTTACAGTGAAGGCACTTCAACTTTTTCTTGTGAACAGTAAGGAACCATTAAAAATGTTTAATTGAGGAATAGTAAGATAATTTTATTTTAAAGAAATCACATTGGTTTTGGTGTGCAGATAGAGCAAGGGGGCAAGAGTAGAAACAGAAATTGGACAAGGTCTATGCCTTCATACATGGGATTGTGGATGAGGACCTGACGTAAGACAACAGAATAAAAATGAAGGACTAAATTTCAGATGCATTAGAGGATGAAATCAATAAGACTTAATGACAGATTGAATAAATTGAGGTGTTTGGAGGAAAATGAAAAAATGTATGAGTCTCAGCTTTCTGACTCAAGAATTGGGCAGACTATGATAGATAATGGTATTATTTTTCAAGATAGTGAATTCAGGAGGAATATATTGAGTGTACAGAAAAATCAAGTTTTTATTATGAATATATTTGAATTTGGTATAGGTGTAGATGTTCAGAATTCAGGATGTTCTACACAGATAGAAACAGAGATGCTTTAAGGGAGCTGAAGTCAAATGCCCAGTAAAGTAAGAGTAACAAATTTAAACCAAAGGTAGAGTTACATTTTGGGGAGTCATCAGTATATAAAAAAAAAATGACTGAAGTCACTGGAACAAGCGAGATTGCCCAGAAAAAAGTCTAGAATCTAGAAAAAGGCAAAGGACAATATCCTAAAGAACATCAATATTTTGGGAGCAGACAGAACAGGAAGAACTAATAGAGATGGAGATGGACTGATCAGAGAGAAACAAGGAGAACCTAAGTAAACTGGTGACATGACAATCAGGGAAGAACTTTGGGTTCAAGGAAGGATGTGCTTCCTTCAAATGCCACAGACAGGTCAAGAGTAGTAAGCAGTAAAAAGAGACATTGATAAAACAGGTGTTTGGGGAAGAAATGACAGATGCAGTGATTCACTTCTGTAAATCCTTTCAGCCACAATCTGGCCCTCTCAGTGAATGGCAGAACTACAGAATTATTTCCACCCCTTCACATTTACTTACCAGAAATGACTGAGGGATTTCATCATGCTATTGCTATGATGAAATTTGTTACAAAAATTTCCTTAAAAGCCATACTAAGAACACAGCCCTCAGACATCAGGCAGGATAGACATAGGAAGTGGCAACAGGCCTTACATTAAGTTTGAACTGCCCCTTTGACCCCATCCATGAAGCACTCTCTCCAACAAAATCCCCATGGCCATGCCAGCTTTGTGCTTTCCTCCCAGTAACGCAACCCTCACACCACACTTTCATCTGCCCCAAACACCAAAATATACCTTCTTCCAAATTCTCCCAATAAAGTATCTTCAATATTTCAAATGTAGTCACCCTCTCCACAATGAATTATACTCAGTGCTTGTCCCACTAGATGCTAGCCCTTACATCCATCTTTAGCCCCTCACTCTCTTCTACAACCAAATACTTCTTCAGTATCATGACCCTCACTTCTAACTACCCAAGGTCCATATCCTGCTCCTCAAAGAGTCCATTCTTAATATTGGACATGCCTGCCAGTCATGTCCCCATACAATGCTGACTACAACAGAAAGATAAGAGTATAAGGAATGAGCATGCTTATAGGGCCAATTTGTACTTTTTAGCTTGAAGATACAGTGTTTGTAAAGTATTGTATTAAACTAGCTGTCAGGAGACCAAGTTCAATGCTGGCTCCAGCACAGCTTTATAAATTATCTTTGCAGCTATAAAAGCACTATATAATGTGAGATGCTGTAATTGATACTTATGAATTGTGAAACAATGTTAGAGAGTTTCAAGGTGGATGTGAATAATTAAGTGGTATTGCTCTGTTCGAATAGTTGAAAGTAAATGCCCACCTGAACTGGAGACAAGACAGAGATTATTCAAAACAGTTGCTAACAAAACTTAATTCCACTTAAGTTTGAAAAGCATATCAGGAAGGCAAATCTTCTGGAGAAAAGAAAAGATCATAGAATAGATCCCAAAGTGACAAGTAATTATTTTCATTTTCTTAATTACTGTGAATAATTGAAATTTGGCTATATTGTACAAATTTGATAACTCATTTACAATGCGATATTATGACTCAAGTGTTATAACTTTCTTTTCTATTTGACTCTAAAAGGATATTTATGATTTCCAAAAAGCAAATTTAATTTTTTACTTGAGATTTAATTTTTCTTTGGCTAAATGAAATGAGAATTATTTAATAATTGGTTATTCTTTTTACTTCAACTGACTAAGTTCAATTTGTATTGTGTTAGTCTCTAAAATTTCAGCGTAGCATTTTTTTAGATGGAAGTAGATGGAAAGAGTAGCTTTGATATTAGATACTCTTGAGTCACAACTTCTCACCTGATCTATAGCCTTGGGCAATGTCATGACTGCTGAGAGCCTCAGACCATCATCTATAAAGTGAGGAGAATACCTCCCTTGGCAAGAATGCTCAATGGAGAAAAGAGTCTCTTCAATAAATGGCACGGGGAAAACTGAATAGTCACATTGAAAAAATGGAACTTGACCCCTATCTGACACCACTCACAAAAATTAACTCAAAATGGATTAAAGACTTATGTAAGACTTAAACCCATGAGACTCCTAGAAGAAAACATACAAAAAAAAGCTCTTTGACATTGGTCAGCTATTTTTAATATTAATAAACTTTTATAGACTATGGACATCCATCAAAATTGTTAAGTATATTCTAGATAAGTAGAAAAGATTATAATTTCATATGACTTTGAAAGTTCCCCCTTAGTTAGGCAGATTGATGTATGTTGGATGTAGATCCTCATTCACTTATATTAAATTCTGAAAACCAGTATTTTTTCTAAAGACCTAAAATTCTTCATAACTCATTTGGCAGAAAAAATATAACCCGAACTCATTTGACAGTTAAATCTTGACCTGAACCAACATGCCGTCTCTTTATTTCCCCTTATGTAAATTTTCCTATGTTTCACTGTACAATTATTACTTAATTTTTGTGTGTGGGGCCCTGCCCTAGTCTCTGCTGAGAGTGCTACATATACACAGTATATGTTCTACATGACAATTCTAAAATCTAAAAAACTCTGAATTTTGAAACTCAACTGGCCCTAAGGTTTCTGACACCATACTATGGACCTTTAATTGCTTTCTCAGTCTGCTACACTCAGGGTTTGTAAAAGGAGAAAGATGGATTGAATGAAATTATATCACAGTTTTTTCAATTGTTTAGAATCCCCAAAAAAAGCTAAAGAAGTTTGCCAGATGTACTTCATGCAGCTACGCTCTGGCCTTATCATAGAAAAGACGACAGCCTGTTACCTTAGGAAAGAAAACACCAAAAGGCATTCACCAAAAACAGGTAAATGGAAACTACACATTTCCTGGTAACTCTTCAGTATGGTGATGGGTATCTTATTTGCCTTCACTTACTATGTCTAGATATATAATTTTCTTCCCTCACTCCAATTTTCCTTCTAGAAAAGAGTAAGGATGATGAACTACTTTCTAACCATTTTCAAAAGGGGCATATAAAGAGTTTTTAATAGCATGGGGGAAAAGGCTATGTTAGAATGTAAATTATAAATATAATTTTATAAATTATAAATATATTTAAAATTATAAAATTATAAATATATTTACAATATTTTAAGTGCTTTTTCTTCACTTAAAGGAAGTAAATTTAAAATGTTAATAGCGATTACCTTTTGGGTGTTGAGACTGTGGGTGACTTAGTTTTCTTCCACCTGGATTCCAATGGGTGTGCATTATTGAGGTATAAGTGTGCCAGGAGGTATCGATCCCTTCAAACTATGGGGTGGCTGAAGCCCCAGGTCAGTCACCACTGTCACCAAGCAACCTTGGCTGGGAATCCTTAAAGGGTGGGAAGGATTTGGGCAGTGTGGGGACTTACAGTCCACTCCTATCCCTACCCCTGTCCTACAGCTGGAAAATACAAAGAGCAACATCTGGTATTCGCTGCCTATCATCAACAGCTGGAACACCTTGAAAAGTCTGCAGAGGGCTTTGCCTTTGATATACCTATGGTCCAGAAATGTCCTATAGCAACTGATGTTCCAAGTATCCAAGGTGTGACTGGTCACTGGGGTGGTGTGGGGGTAAGGAGTGAGGTAAGACACAGGACACTGGCTGGTGCAACTCCATCCAGGGAGCAGCCCCAAGTCTATGTCTTCATGTATATCAGAAACTTCTGTCCATTTGCTACTGATATACCCATTTAGTGGTATCTAAACTAGGTAAAGGGTAGCTACTCTAATGATGCATGTGCATTCTATGGTTAGCATTCTATCATTATTTTGGAAGTGGAATCCCATATACATATACTAGGGATTGGAATCCCATGTACATTATTCCTGGGGAAAATACATTATCCTTTGAGGGGAAAAAACACATTAGCCTCCCAAATTTCAACATTTGACAATGAAATCAAAGGAAAGAGTCATTACGTTTTTAAAATATAAGTTCAATTCTTAAGCATTTTAAATAGTTGTTAAAATTGTTCAAAATTATGTAACTTATTTATGCAAATAAAGTCCAAGTTGATGGTGACTATCAAGAAGTAAAAAGATAATTTAAAAAACTTGACCAGGAATTGCAAGCTGCCATTTCAAGCATTATTCCTCATATAAATGTCTTATGGTCTCAGAAGCATACTGAAGTTTCTAAGTATTTTTAAATCATTTTACTTTAGCAGTTCATAGACAAATTCGACATTTAACATTCTCATTTTGTAGATTATTTTTCTTAAAATAATTCTATAATGTAAATAAAATACACTGATTTTTTTTTCTCCAGGACCCATATAGATAGTTCCTAAATCTGCTCCAGTTTACCCCAGCATGCCATAAAAATTATCATTTTCTATATGCTGGGATGTTTTTTAAAAAGGTGGGAATACTGTTCTAAGTGTCACTTTGTTATTTAGCCTAAGGACAGAAGGGGCTCACACCTGCATTCTCTAGGACTGTTGAAGTCTCTAAGTCCACACCTTACAAATGGGTATTCATTTATCTATGTCTATCAAAATACAGTTCCTTCTTGCCCATAGTACCCCTAACCATGGAGAGCTAGGAAGCGGAGGTTTCTTTAGGCAACATCCGTCACTTTTCCAGCTTCTTTCTTCCCACCAAAAGCTGATAAGCACACTAACATGGCCTCCAGTGGCCTTCACACAGGAGACTAGCATCCTTAATTCCATTCAGGTGGCACATCTCAGTCTTTGAGCTATGTTAAGCTTGTGCCAAAGGCTTTCACCTATGCAATAGTGATGGACAAAGTGCAACTCAAATTAAAAAAAAGAAAACCTTTAAGGACGTATTTTTTTTAAATGCTGAAGATTGTTCATGGAAACAAGGTTCTTTTAAAAGAAAAATCCTAATGACACAACTTCCACTTCTTACAGAATATTCTGCTTCCTTGAGCACATACAACGATCAGTTCATTACCTTTGTTTTTGAGGATGGAAGTTATGAGATCTATGTTGAAGATTTGCAAAAAGACCAAAAGAAAGGTAGAATATTTTCTTTTGTCTATAACAATAGAATGATGATGAGTAAAAAATAAACTTACCAAACCATAAATACAGATTAACCCGGACATGACAAACAGATTCCATGCTGTCTGTGTGCTGACTCCAATGCGTGGGCAGTCGATGCCTGACTATTGCGGTGTGGAGGAGGATTCAGAACCTTAGGGTTCACCAAGAAAGAATGTTGATATTTACAAATGGCGTCTGTTGTGAAAGATGGAAGAAGGGACCACAAGAATATGCTACTGCTAAATGACCTACTACTTTTTCAATAGCAGCCTTATCAATATCACCAAAGTACAGTCCCTAGTGAAAGAAAATATCATGCTATGAACAATATTCTAAACACTTAATGAATTCATCAGAGCATATTCATACATTTTTGAGACCTTTATCAAAACCACAAAAGTTTTGCTCTGATTGATACATAATAAAAAGAGGAGGATATGTTCTTATGTATATATTGGAATTGAAACATTTTATGAAACTGTATCTCACCAAAGGAATTTCATGCATTCTCTTTCAGACAAGGTGTTATTCCGTTACTATGATTCCCAATACCCCTCAAGTAAAACAGGTAATTTGGGTGGGTTGGATAACTTGTGCTTGAATTCTTAAATTTGGGGTGTAGATGATTCCAGAAATGCTCCATGGGAAAGGAAGTCAGTCTCAGAAGCTTCTCTCCAGCCCAAGTTCATTGTAAAATCTTAGAATCTTAGAGGATTTACTGCATCTCATGCACTTTGCAGTTTAATAGTTAGGATAAAAGTTTGACTACACTTATCAGAGATCCAGAATAAAGTGGCTTAAGCTATACAAAACTTTATTTCTTTCTTAGCCAGGATTGGAATAGCAGTTCTGATCAACAGTTTGTTCACGGACCCCCTTCCTTCTCTTTCTGTGGCTCTGCCAATATCTACATGGTTCAAGATGTCCACCATGACAATGCCCAATCAGCAGGACAGAGGAAAATGGACACATGACTTCTCTTTCTTTTTAAGGACAAAACCTGAAAATTGCTCCTGACATTTTCACTCACCTCGCATTGGTCAGAACATAGTCACATTGCTACACTTAGCCACAAGAAGGCAGGCTGGATAATGTTCTGTTGTTCTACAAGAAGGGGAGTTGGATACTGGGGGATAACTATCAGTGGCTTTAAATGCAGAAAGGGAAGTTAGCACCCAGAAAGTCACAATTCTACAACTAGAAAGCACGTAAGAAAACTAACCTCTCTCCTTCAAGGGAGGAATACCCCCTTGTCCAATAACCCTTCAGTTTTATTTGGATACAAATATTTCTAAGAGACATGTTGGTTAATGAAGTAGCTATTTACACGACATTCCGAACTCTTTTCCTGGGTGTTAAACTCATTACATTAAAATGAGTTACAATTCTTAACTTTACAATCTACATATTTTTTAATTGCAAGATGATGGTGTTGATGGTCACACATTAATGGTGAACCTGAGTCCTACAAAAGACAAAGACTTCTTGCTGCATGCCAACAACAAGGAATGCTCTGTGGAGGTAATGGAAATATGCACTTCATTGTCATGATTGACTCCATTCCTTTGGGCAGATTTGGGTCTTTGCAGTATTCTGAAAAAGGTCTTCATTGTTGCTATTGTATATAAAACACAATCAGTTATTACTAATAACTTATTTCTGGAGCAGGGAAGGGAAGTAAATGGCATGAATAGCCTTGCTGCTGAATGTCTGGTCTCTGCCAGTAGTACGGCATCACCTGGGATCTTGTCAGAAATGCAGAATTCCAGACTCTCACACATCAAAATCAGAATCAGAATTTTAACAAATCACCAGGACACTAACATGCACATTATAGTTGGAGAAGCACTGCTACACAGAATGATCTCAAATTCTTTGTATTTGACTTTAGGAACTACTGTATTCTTCCAGGAAGTGTTTCTTTGTAAAATATACTTTTCTCAGAGAAATGGAAAAATAATTTTACACTTTAAGCCTGCTGAACAGAGGGTCATTAACATTTCCATATGCCAAGATTTACAGATGGTGTAGCAATCTACATTCTAATCTCAGGATTCCCCACATAGTCTTCTACAGTTAGTAAATGGTAGTATTATACCAGTCATGATAAAGAATTATAAACATCTTGATGAACAAATAAGCCAAAGGTAGAGACCAGAAAGAAAATATGAGAATAATATTTAAGATAAATTATATAAATACACAAAATTATAAAGCTAACTAACACAGCCATGTAAGGTATTAAAAAAAACACTAGATGGTAAGCAGCATCTCCCTTATCAAAACATTTCTAAGTGTATATAACTACTCAGTAAAAAGAGTTGATCCATACTGAGCTCTATTATATAGCAAAGCACAACACTATGCTAAATGTTTTACAGGCACTGTCTCATTTAATTTTCACAGTAACTCTATGAGGGGTTATTGTATTGGTCAGGTATTTCTGTGTAACAGCCCATCCCCAACACTTAGTGGCTTAAAATAATAGTCATTTATATCACTCACATATCTGTGGGTAAGTTGGGGGTTGACTGATCTAGAAAACTGGCTACACTAAAAAATTTGAGGCTTGAGAGATAAAGCAATGTGCCCAGGTCTCAGAGACTGTACATGACAAAAGAGGAATACAAATCCAGAACTGCTGCACTGCATCGGGCATCTAAGCCACAGTGTCTTCAAAGCATACTGGTTTTCAGCAAATCAAATAAAATAATTTGATTTGATTTGGCTCTCTATCCCTCTTCCTTCTTCCCCGACTCCCATCCCCTACTCAGTAAGCAGGCTTGCTAGAAATACCAAGTTATAAATAATTACCCTTTAGTTTCTAACACAAGAAGGTGAAGTTGAGTCTGGACTTCCCACTCATATTGGATGTTTTCTGTCTTGTTTCCTCAGCTACAAAAATGTGAAAACCCATGGCCAGAGCAGGCCTTTTTTCTCCTTCATAAGAAGTCCTCCAAACGTGTTTCATTTGAATGTAAGAGCAACCCTGGAATGTTTCTTGGAGTAAAAGATAACCACCTTGCTCTAATTAAAGTAGGGGACCAAACTGAGGAATCAGGTACAGAGAATATCATATTTAAGCTCTCTTAAACTTAATGTGATAGAAAGCTATGGATCTGGGGTTGGGTAGTCCAAATAGCTACCATTGGAGAAGGGATGAAAGATAAGAGACAAAAACATTTAAAGGAAATGGAGATGCTTAGTATGCTGTGGAATGTTTTCCTTATTATGTGTAATTATTTTTTTTGTAATCCTTAAGTCATTTTTTGCTTTTCCTCTATATCACTACATAGGCAATATAAGTATTGGAAATTAAATAGGGTATTGGTAAAGAGACCTGCTAACATTCTGAAAAGATACAGCCTGACCTTTACTTTTTTTCTTTCAGTCCAGAAAAAACTTCATATTTAGAGCTGAGACCTCTGGGGAAGAAACAAGGGCCTTAGCCTAAGTCTCACTTTAGACAGAGATTCATTTTAGAGAGCTACATAAAGCATAACTTTTCTAGATTCCAAACAATAATTTCAAAAACTAGCATTGCTAGTAAAACGTTAGTAAGATACTACACAGTTTGACTATTTCATAAGTGGAATAGACCCCAAGTCTATTTGCAGATGCCCAAAAGTTCAGATGCCTATGTGGCTTGGCAGGTAATAAAAACATGTGAAAAGGCAATGATAATAAAAAAGTTAAGAAAGATAAATCCAATGTTTGTAAATTGAATACTTTTACCTCTAATTATTTCATTTTTGTAGACTGAGTTAACTTTAAGCAAGGCATTCTTATATTAGGAAGAAAAGTTAATTTTTGTTCAGACATAATTGAAATCATTAGGAAAATCTAATAAACTAAAACATATTTTTAAAAAGCATTGATCCACAACATATGTTAGGGCATCCCAGTACTATTGGATTCAAGTACCATGGTGGGGCCAGAAGTCCTCTGACCTACTAAAACTTAAATGGGACATAGGATTGATTAACATCATACTTTCAGTAACTGACTATCCCTCAAATTTGCAGCATACCATGTCCTTCTGACCCTGGCTTCCAAAGATCTATGACCTTTATTCTGCTTCACCAACCTTATGTTAAATAACTTTACAAAAAATTATTAATAGAAATATTTTTTATTAACTATCTTTGCATTTTACTGTTAACTAAGACAATAAAATTTATACTAAACTAAATAATAACATTTTTTGAAAACTAAAGGAAAAGTTTTTGCTTTTTTTAAAGCCTTGGCAATTTTTACTACAATTTTTCATAGGCTTAATATTGACAATAAACAATAAACATAGTAACAGGATTCTTATGAAATATGACTTTTTTCTGAAAGTATACGTTTTTCAATTTCTAATTTGTTAAGATCTGTTGTGTATGATTTGCTGGTGGAACACAAAATAAAAGAGGCTGAGAATTACTGTACAAAGGCAAACAACTGTAGAACAATGTATCTTTGTTTTATTATTTTGTTAATAATTTTATATAGAGGCATAAAAATAATAACAGCAGAATCTATATCATCCCCTCAGAAAAACACTTAAATGTTGACCATGTGTGTCTGTATAATATGTTTAAAATGATTATTATTAAGTAACCAAATAAATCTATTACATTTTTAATATCCTTGAATAAACTATATTTTTCAAAAGGACATGATGCCATAATGATTTTATCATAAAATGACTCAATATTCTGAAACTCTTACGTGAAATTAAGCACACCCCAATCCATCAGTGTTAGTATCTGGAGTAGGTCATTTGTCTGATGTCTTTGGTGATTCAAAACTGAGTAAATTATAAATAATAAAACTAATATTTTCCAGGTAAGGAATTGTGTCTTTTTCACCTTCATAGTCACATTGCCCATCATAGTGGCCAGCACAGTTGCCATTCAATGACTTTTACCCAAGGTCAAACAGCCAACATGTACCTGCATCAGAACTTTAACCAGAGGCTTCTGACTCATTTACATATCTTTCAACCTGGCTATCTTATTTTCATTTAATTTTCCTCTTTTTTTATACATCCATTTTAAATATACTTTTCCCTGTCACTATAGTCTGTATTACTTGATTAAAATATTCAAATGTATGGTGGCCTTTTGTCACTTATTTGCAAGTATTTTGATGGTCCAAACACACATTACTTGAAGAAATTTATCCATTTCTTTGTATTAGAACCGCCAATTATGTCAATGTACATGTACAATATATATTAGAACTCCACCTCTGCAGTATACAGATGCACACAGGTGAGGATCAGTGTGAGTTTCTCATTAGGAGAACATATCGGACTGAATTCTCTGCCCATACCCCTGTACCCACTCTGATCTATTCATATATCCATTCTCTAGGTCATGTTAAACAGGTTCCTCCTGAAGGTGTCAGACAAAAGGGGGTAAGTTCAGTTGTTCCAAATTCCTTAATTGTCAGTGTTGGGGTTAGAGGAGTTAGGAATCTGAGAAATAGATGCAAGAGATGAAAATGAAAGCCGACTGATAGAGATAGCATCAACGAGCTACTTCCTGTTGAGTGCCAAGATGATGAAACACTTGTCCAAGTCAAATTATAGTCCCTAGCTCAGAGGACACTACCATAAAGAGAATACATGAATCACTGCCTGTCATATTAAGAACATAGACTTGGTTCACTACTTACAGTTGTGTAACTTCACAAATTACATAAACTCTCTCATCTCTGTTTATCCTCTATAAAATGAGGAGGTACCAAAATTGTTGTTGTTTACCTAATGTCCATCACTGCCACCCCTACTTCCTTACCAATAGAATCTCATTTTGTGCTGGGCAGCAATATGCCCAACTAAAAATATACCCTTTCCCAGACTCTCATGCAGTAGATATGGTAACCATACGGCACTGTTCTGGACAATAAAATATAGGCAGGATAATGATTTGAGAAAACATTTTTAAAGGGGACATATTCAACTGGCATGGCCTTTTGTAGTCTTTCACCCTCTCCCCTTCTTCCTTTCTGGACCATAGATATGAGGCTGAATAGGTGATGCAGTTTAATAGTTAGGATAAAAGTTTGACTACACTTATCAGAGATCCAGAATAAAGTGGCTTAAGCTATACAAAACTTTATTTCTTTCTTAGCCAGGATTGGAATAGCAGTTCTGATCAACAGTTTGTTCACGGACCCCCTTCCTTCTCTTTCTGTGGCTCTGCCAATATCTACATGGTTCAAGATGTCCACCATGACAATGCCCAATCAGCAGGACAGAGGAAAATGGACACATGACTTCTCTTTCTTTTTAAGGACAAAACCTGAAAATTGCTCCTGACATTTTCACTCACCTCGCATTGGTCAGAACATAGTCACATTGCTACACTTAGCCACAAGAAGGCAGGCTGGATAATGTTCTGTTGTTCTACAAGAAGGGGAGTTGGATACTGGGGGATAACTATCAGTGGCTTTAAATGCAGAAAGGGAAGTTAGCACCCAGAAAGTCACAATTCTACAACTAGAAAGCACGTAAGAAAACTAACCTCTCTCCTTCAAGGGAGGAATACCCCCTTGTCCAATAACCCTTCAGTTTTATTTGGATACAAATATTTCTAAGAGACATGTTGGTTAATGAAGTAGCTATTTACACGACATTCCGAACTCTTTTCCTGGGTGTTAAACTCATTACATTAAAATGAGTTACAATTCTTAACTTTACAATCTACATATTTTTTAATTGCAAGATGATGGTGTTGATGGTCACACATTAATGGTGAACCTGAGTCCTACAAAAGACAAAGACTTCTTGCTGCATGCCAACAACAAGGAATGCTCTGTGGAGGTAATGGAAATATGCACTTCATTGTCATGATTGACTCCATTCCTTTGGGCAGATTTGGGTCTTTGCAGTATTCTGAAAAAGGTCTTCATTGTTGCTATTGTATATAAAACACAATCAGTTATTACTAATAACTTATTTCTGGAGCAGGGAAGGGAAGTAAATGGCATGAATAGCCTTGCTGCTGAATGTCTGGTCTCTGCCAGTAGTACGGCATCACCTGGGATCTTGTCAGAAATGCAGAATTCCAGACTCTCACACATCAAAATCAGAATCAGAATTTTAACAAATCACCAGGACACTAACATGCACATTATAGTTGGAGAAGCACTGCTACACAGAATGATCTCAAATTCTTTGTATTTGACTTTAGGAACTACTGTATTCTTCCAGGAAGTGTTTCTTTGTAAAATATACTTTTCTCAGAGAAATGGAAAAATAATTTTACACTTTAAGCCTGCTGAACAGAGGGTCATTAACATTTCCATATGCCAAGATTTACAGATGGTGTAGCAATCTACATTCTAATCTCAGGATTCCCCACATAGTCTTCTACAGTTAGTAAATGGTAGTATTATACCAGTCATGATAAAGAATTATAAACATCTTGATGAACAAATAAGCCAAAGGTAGAGACCAGAAAGAAAATATGAGAATAATATTTAAGATAAATTATATAAATACACAAAATTATAAAGCTAACTAACACAGCCATGTAAGGTATTAAAAAAAACACTAGATGGTAAGCAGCATCTCCCTTATCAAAACATTTCTAAGTGTATATAACTACTCAGTAAAAAGAGTTGATCCATACTGAGCTCTATTATATAGCAAAGCACAACACTATGCTAAATGTTTTACAGGCACTGTCTCATTTAATTTTCACAGTAACTCTATGAGGGGTTATTGTATTGGTCAGGTATTTCTGTGTAACAGCCCATCCCCAACACTTAGTGGCTTAAAATAATAGTCATTTATATCACTCACATATCTGTGGGTAAGTTGGGGGTTGACTGATCTAGAAAACTGGCTACACTAAAAAATTTGAGGCTTGAGAGATAAAGCAATGTGCCCAGGTCTCAGAGACTGTACATGACAAAAGAGGAATACAAATCCAGAACTGCTGCACTGCATCGGGCATCTAAGCCACAGTGTCTTCAAAGCATACTGGTTTTCAGCAAATCAAATAAAATAATTTGATTTGATTTGGCTCTCTATCCCTCTTCCTTCTTCCCCGACTCCCATCCCCTACTCAGTAAGCAGGCTTGCTAGAAATACCAAGTTATAAATAATTACCCTTTAGTTTCTAACACAAGAAGGTGAAGTTGAGTCTGGACTTCCCACTCATATTGGATGTTTTCTGTCTTGTTTCCTCAGCTACAAAAATGTGAAAACCCATGGCCAGAGCAGGCCTTTTTTCTCCTTCATAAGAAGTCCTCCAAACGTGTTTCATTTGAATGTAAGAGCAACCCTGGAATGTTTCTTGGAGTAAAAGATAACCACCTTGCTCTAATTAAAGTAGGGGACCAAACTGAGGAATCAGGTACAGAGAATATCATATTTAAGCTCTCTTAAACTTAATGTGATAGAAAGCTATGGATCTGGGGTTGGGTAGTCCAAATAGCTACCATTGGAGAAGGGATGAAAGATAAGAGACAAAAACATTTAAAGGAAATGGAGATGCTTAGTATGCTGTGGAATGTTTTCCTTATTATGTGTAATTATTTTTTTTGTAATCCTTAAGTCATTTTTTGCTTTTCCTCTATATCACTACATAGGCAATATAAGTATTGGAAATTAAATAGGGTATTGGTAAAGAGACCTGCTAACATTCTGAAAAGATACAGCCTGACCTTTACTTTTTTTCTTTCAGTCCAGAAAAAACTTCATATTTAGAGCTGAGACCTCTGGGGAAGAAACAAGGGCCTTAGCCTAAGTCTCACTTTAGACAGAGATTCATTTTAGAGAGCTACATAAAGCATAACTTTTCTAGATTCCAAACAATAATTTCAAAAACTAGCATTGCTAGTAAAACGTTAGTAAGATACTACACAGTTTGACTATTTCATAAGTGGAATAGACCCCAAGTCTATTTGCAGATGCCCAAAAGTTCAGATGCCTATGTGGCTTGGCAGGTAATAAAAACATGTGAAAAGGCAATGATAATAAAAAAGTTAAGAAAGATAAATCCAATGTTTGTAAATTGAATACTTTTACCTCTAATTATTTCATTTTTGTAGACTGAGTTAACTTTAAGCAAGGCATTCTTATATTAGGAAGAAAAGTTAATTTTTGTTCAGACATAATTGAAATCATTAGGAAAATCTAATAAACTAAAACATATTTTTAAAAAGCATTGATCCACAACATATGTTAGGGCATCCCAGTACTATTGGATTCAAGTACCATGGTGGGGCCAGAAGTCCTCTGACCTACTAAAACTTAAATGGGACATAGGATTGATTAACATCATACTTTCAGTAACTGACTATCCCTCAAATTTGCAGCATACCATGTCCTTCTGACCCTGGCTTCCAAAGATCTATGACCTTTATTCTGCTTCACCAACCTTATGTTAAATAACTTTACAAAAAATTATTAATAGAAATATTTTTTATTAACTATCTTTGCATTTTACTGTTAACTAAGACAATAAAATTTATACTAAACTAAATAATAACATTTTTTGAAAACTAAAGGAAAAGTTTTTGCTTTTTTTAAAGCCTTGGCAATTTTTACTACAATTTTTCATAGGCTTAATATTGACAATAAACAATAAACATAGTAACAGGATTCTTATGAAATATGACTTTTTTCTGAAAGTATACGTTTTTCAATTTCTAATTTGTTAAGATCTGTTGTGTATGATTTGCTGGTGGAACACAAAATAAAAGAGGCTGAGAATTACTGTACAAAGGCAAACAACTGTAGAACAATGTATCTTTGTTTTATTATTTTGTTAATAATTTTATATAGAGGCATAAAAATAATAACAGCAGAATCTATATCATCCCCTCAGAAAAACACTTAAATGTTGACCATGTGTGTCTGTATAATATGTTTAAAATGATTATTATTAAGTAACCAAATAAATCTATTACATTTTTAATATCCTTGAATAAACTATATTTTTCAAAAGGACATGATGCCATAATGATTTTATCATAAAATGACTCAATATTCTGAAACTCTTACGTGAAATTAAGCACACCCCAATCCATCAGTGTTAGTATCTGGAGTAGGTCATTTGTCTGATGTCTTTGGTGATTCAAAACTGAGTAAATTATAAATAATAAAACTAATATTTTCCAGGTAAGGAATTGTGTCTTTTTCACCTTCATAGTCACATTGCCCATCATAGTGGCCAGCACAGTTGCCATTCAATGACTTTTACCCAAGGTCAAACAGCCAACATGTACCTGCATCAGAACTTTAACCAGAGGCTTCTGACTCATTTACATATCTTTCAACCTGGCTATCTTATTTTCATTTAATTTTCCTCTTTTTTTATACATCCATTTTAAATATACTTTTCCCTGTCACTATAGTCTGTATTACTTGATTAAAATATTCAAATGTATGGTGGCCTTTTGTCACTTATTTGCAAGTATTTTGATGGTCCAAACACACATTACTTGAAGAAATTTATCCATTTCTTTGTATTAGAACCGCCAATTATGTCAATGTACATGTACAATATATATTAGAACTCCACCTCTGCAGTATACAGATGCACACAGGTGAGGATCAGTGTGAGTTTCTCATTAGGAGAACATATCGGACTGAATTCTCTGCCCATACCCCTGTACCCACTCTGATCTATTCATATATCCATTCTCTAGGTCATGTTAAACAGGTTCCTCCTGAAGGTGTCAGACAAAAGGGGGTAAGTTCAGTTGTTCCAAATTCCTTAATTGTCAGTGTTGGGGTTAGAGGAGTTAGGAATCTGAGAAATAGATGCAAGAGATGAAAATGAAAGCCGACTGATAGAGATAGCATCAACGAGCTACTTCCTGTTGAGTGCCAAGATGATGAAACACTTGTCCAAGTCAAATTATAGTCCCTAGCTCAGAGGACACTACCATAAAGAGAATACATGAATCACTGCCTGTCATATTAAGAACATAGACTTGGTTCACTACTTACAGTTGTGTAACTTCACAAATTACATAAACTCTCTCATCTCTGTTTATCCTCTATAAAATGAGGAGGTACCAAAATTGTTGTTGTTTACCTAATGTCCATCACTGCCACCCCTACTTCCTTACCAATAGAATCTCATTTTGTGCTGGGCAGCAATATGCCCAACTAAAAATATACCCTTTCCCAGACTCTCATGCAGTAGATATGGTAACCATACGGCATTGTTCTGGACAATAAAATATAGGCAGGATAATGATTTGAGAAAACATTTTTAAAGGGGACATATTCAACTGGCATGGCCTTTTGTAGTCTTTCACCCTCTCCCCTTCTTCCTTTCTGGACCATAGATATGAGGCTGAATAGGTGATGAGCATGGAGAATAAGGCCTTCATTTTAAGAAGGGCAGAAAAGAAAGATGAAAGAACCCTCCTAGTGTAGTGAACAATATTGGTGTTCTGCCCAAATCATTTATAATGGATTCATTTATAATGGACACTTTGATAACATTTCTGAGTGTACAATACACACACCCACATACCCACCATCACCACCACTATCTCCGTGTGCTTTCAATACCCAGCATTTGCAGCTTTTGTTATAAGGATTGCCATTAAGGTACTGATGTTGATTTACCCTCTTGCACAGGGAGATGAAAGTTTCTGTGAGTTTGCATTCCTCCCACGAACCTCACAAGGCTTTTGAAAGCCCAGCTCCCTGTGGCGGGTGAAAAAACTCTATTTTAAATTTCATTTAAAAATTCCCTTACAAGGTTCATGCTAAGCTACCCTCTGCTGGACTTCAGCATGAGATTGCATTCTTGCTTCGATTCCTGTCCATCCCTGTCCTGCCCAACTCCTTTACCATATTACAGACAATATCTTGCCAATTTTAATAAAAATAGACAAATTCCTTGACAGGCACAAACTATCAAGACTCACTCAAGAAGAAAGAGATAATAGGAATAACCCTATATCTATTTTTTAAGTTAATTTTTAGTTTAAAATCTTCTCATAAAAAACTTCAGTCTTCCCTACTCAATTCTTCCAAGCATTTACATAAGAAATAAATAAATTCTAAACCAACTGTGTCAAAAACCTGAAGAGGAGTGAATTCTGTTGAATTCATTCTATGAGGCAAGCATTATACTTATATCAAAACCAAAGACACTACGAGAAAAATAAAGACTACAGACCAATATTTTTCATGAACACAGACACAAGAGTTTTAAATAAAATTTTAGCAAATCAAATCCAATAATATAGAAAATGATTTATAATATATCATTTATATATATTATATATAATATATATGTATAATATACATATGCAAAAGATATATATTAAAAGGGTATAAAAATATATCATAACCAAGTGAGATTTAATCCCAGGAATACAAGGTTGGTTTAGTACTTAAAAACCAATCAACACAATTTATAATTTTAACAAACTAAAATAGAAAAACAATATGATCATCTCAATAGATACAAAAAAAGCAGTTGACAAGTTCTAACATCCATTTCTGAAAAAAATTAAACAGTCAATAAACTAGGAATAGAAGCAAACTTCCTCAGTCTGATAGAGACAAGACCAAAGCAACCTTACAATAACATCATAATAGTGAAAAACTGAGTAGAAAAAGATTGAATAAGATCAAGAACAATAAAAAGTTGTCTACTCCCACCACTTTTTTCCAACGTTGTACTGGAGGTTCTAGTCTTTGCAATAAATGTTGGAAAATAAATAAATAATCTAGACTGAAAAGAAAAAGAAAAATTGCCTTTATTTTTTTTCTTTTTCTTTTTATATTGTTATTGATATATACTCTTATGAAGGTTTCATGTAAAAAACAATGTGGTCACTATATTCACCCATATTATCAAGTCCCTCCCCCATACCCCATTGTAGTCACTATCCATCAGTGTAGTAAGATGCCACAGAGCCACTACTTATCTTCTCTGTGCTACATTGTCTTCCCCATGATCCCCCTCACGCCATGTGTGCCAATCATAGTACCCCTCAATCCCCTTCTCCCTCCCTCCCCACCCACCCCTCCCCTTTGGTAACCACTAGTCCCTTCTTGGAGTCTGTGAGTCTGCTGCTGAAAAACTGCCTTTATTTAAAAACAATGTGATTATCCATGTAGAAAATCCAATGGAATCTACAAAAGTTTATGTAACTAATAAATAAGTTTAACAAGGATCTACAATGCTACAAGATCAATGCACAAAAATCAACTGTATTTCTATATAGTAACAAGAGACAACTGGAAACTGAAAAATTTTAGTACCATTTATAATATATTAAAAGGTTTTTAAATACTAGAGATTAATCTGACAAAGATAAATAACATTGAAAACTGCCAAACATAACTGAAATTAAGGAAGACCTAAATAAATAGAGACATATCATGTTTGTGGGTCAGAAGATCCAAAATGGTTAGTCCATTTTCCCCATATTGATATGTAGATTTCATGCAATCCCAATAAAAATCCTAAGCTGACATTAAAATTTATATGGAAATGTAGAAGACCTAGAATAGTTAAAAGAATTTTAAAAAATGACACTAGAGGTCTTCACCTCTTGCTTTCAAGACTTACTATAAAGCTGCACTTACATAGACAGTATGGTAAATATGGTATTTCCAGAAAGATATACAAATACATTAGTGGAACAGCATACAGAGTTCAGAAATAGACTAAACTATATATACACAACTGATTATTTACAAAACTACAAAGGCAATTCAATGGAAAAAGGAGAGTCTTTCCAACAAATGGTGCTTGAACAATTGGATATCCATATGCAACAAAAACAAAAACAAAACAAAACAAATAACCAAGAGGCAGTCCAAGATGATTGTGTAGGAAGACCTTGAACTCACCTCTCATATGGACACACTGAATTTACACCTGTGTATAGAGCAATTACTACTGAAGAACTGAGGGCTGATTGGACAACTTCTTCACAACAAACAATAAAGAGACCACACACAGTAGAGTAGGAGTGAAAGAGACACAGTAATGATAGGAGTGCCACCCCTGACAGAAAGACCTGCAGGAGAGAGGGATATCACCTAAGGGCCCATGCATAGATTCAGCCACCCTGGGGTACAGCAAATAAGAAGCAGTTTGAAGGGAAACTAGACTAACTAACCCTAGAGCACCCACCAAATGTGCAGGGAACTGTTAGAACTCATTCCCAGGTTAGAACTTCTGGTGATTGTCAATTTTATATTCGTCCTCCGCCTTGACAGTGTAGATGGGAGCAGAGTCCAAGTACTCTAGCCAACCTGCTAGAGCCACCCCAGTAGTCCCAGGCCCCTAGCCCACACCAGCTCCAGCCATCCCCCTAAGACAGCTCTAGCATGGCATGCCCTAGGCACTCCTGCCTGCACTTGTTCCAGGTCCAGTCATCTGACCAAGGTGACCATGGTATGGCTTACTCTGGAACCCCTCAAGCCTACACCCAATTCTGCCAGCCCACCAATGGCTCTGGAATAGTATGCCCAGGGGCCTCTTGGCCTGCAACCATTCCAGTTCCAACCATCTGCTCAGTGTGGCCCTGGCATGACATTCCCAGGGACTCCCTGGCCTGCACCAACTCCAGCTCCAGTCATCCCACAAAGGTGGCCCCACAAAGCTAGGTTACTCTAGAACTCCTCCGGCCTGCACCCACTTCAGTCCAAGCTGGCTTGCCAAAGCCTCCAGGCACACACAGTCTGCACAGAGGATGCTCCAACACAACACCACTACTTCAAGTCTGGGAGAGGTAGCTGCTATGCCTAATTCATATAAACAAACACAGAAAGTCAAACAACATGAGGTGACAGAGAATATATTCCAAATGAAAAAACAAGAAAACCCCAGGAAAAAACCCTAATGAAACAGAGATGAGTAATTTACCTGATAAAGAGTTCAAAGTAATGGTCATAAAGATACTCATGCAGAAGAAGAATGGAGGAACACAGTGAGAACTTCAAAAAAAGGTAAAAAATATGTA